GGCAGCCTTCGCCAGACGTTCGCGGTCGCGAGGCTTCGTGATGTCCATCTCTTTTTCGAGCTTGTTCGTGATGAACTCGACGAACTTGCCCTTGTTGCCCGCGATGTCGCTGTCCTCGTTGGTCAGCTCATCGTTGATCGCCTTCTGCGTCGCACCCTTGATGGTCTTGCCGAACCGTTCGCGCACCAGGCCGCTCAGGCCCTCGGCGTCGAGATGGCCGTGCGTGCTGAACGAGTCGATGTCGATACCGTTCGCGATAGCCGACTGGCGGCCTTCTCGCGTCGGCGACAGAACACGCGACGCCAACTGCCGAACCATCGTACCGGACTCTTGGCCCGGCATGTTCGCGCGTTTCAACGCCATACCGATGGCGGCGACCGTGGTGTCCGAGATGCCTGCCGCGCTCGCGCCCGAGTAGGCATACTTGCCGAACTGCGTGATGTCCTCGGCAGTCATCGCGCCGGACTTAGACATGACGGCGGCGATGTCGGCATACCGCTTGGCGATGGCTTTGGCCTTCGACGGATCGCCCTCTAATTCGTGCGAGTGACCCTTCGCGAAGATCGAGCCTTCGAGGATCACCGCCGCGTCTTTGACCGACGTGCCGAGCGCCTTCGACAGGATGAGCGCTTGGTCGGTCATGATCTGCGAGGTACGCGCCGAGATTTGCCGCTGCGCGAACGCCATCTGCGCGTGAGCTACGTCAATCGGGCTTTCGCCGTAATCGAACGCGCCGCGCCGCTGTTGCGCGAGCAGGCCAGCCATCTCAGACTGGCTATACCCGTAGCCGCTGATCTTCCCGTTCTCGTCGCGCTGGACGCCGACCGCTCGCATGTAGCGATTCTCGCGTTCGAGCGGGATGTAATTCTTGACGGCGTCCGCCGCCTTGTGCAGCGCGTAGCTCGACGCGACCCCCGCAACGATGCCGCCGACCTCACGCCACGCCGCCTTGATGGAGTGGAGATGCGAAAGGTGCTGCCTCGCCTGGGAGTTCGCGTCGACTAGTCCGCGATTGTACTGGTTCAGGCCGGAAGCGTCGAGCTTCATCAGCTCTATTTGCTTCGCGGCCTGCTTCGCCTGGTTGGATAACTGCTTCAGAGGCCCCGACATATTGTCGATCAGGCCGACCACGGCGGCGGTCTGGAAAGTCTGCATGTCGGCTTACCTCGTTTCAGCCATCAACTTCTCGTTCCGCTTCGTTATGTCGTACCAATAGCGGAGTTCTGCGGGGGTCATGGTCATGATGTTCGTCGGAGTATCGACGCGCATCACGACCAGATAGTTGGCACGACCGGCTATTCCCCCAGGCCGTTCCAGACCTCGCCGACGACGTTGCAGGCGCTCTGGAAATCGGTGCCGGACAGATCACCGAGGATGAGATCGTCGACGCCGGAAAGCAGCGACAGATACGCATCATTTTGCGTAGCGAATTTCCAGCTCGACGTGCCGTCGTCTTTGCGCTGAAT